AACGGCAGATGAAAAACGAGAACGCAATACAATTTTTCCCAAAAAAAGTGTGTACTTTATTTGTCAGTGGTCTGAATTTACTGTTTGTGTAGCTATTTCAATTTTATAGTCAACGGCGAAAATCGGTATGATAGCATCACCAATGGTATAATTCATCATGGTATTATGTAATTATATTTTAGCACAATAACGGTAAATATTGACTTCTATAATATATCTCTTAACAGTATAGACCGGTGTTTCGTCCGAAGGCTGGGCATCGTGATGTTCGTAAACCAAGACCTCAACCAGTACAAAAACCACCATCCTTGCCAGTAAAGAAATCTAAACAGCAATATGAAATAGAAGCAGAAGGAAGAGGATGATTGTATTTATGCAAATATTCCAATACTCAAACATCCTGGTGGGAACAAGTAAGTGAGTTCATATTATTATGCCGCGATTGACAAGAGTTCACGCTAGCCACGTGACAAGGGTCAAACATATAACCAGTTAGGACCGGTCTACTAGATGGCCTAAAATATCTTACTTTTTGCACACGTAGAAAGTATCACGGTAACTAGGTGCGCTATACTGTGGTAAAAACAATATGTTACTGTTTTACAGGTATGGTAGAGGGCGCTCTGGTGGTATAGACAACCCAGGAATGAGAATGTAAAACAAAGGCCAATACTGTTTTCACGCCCATCACGATTATCAATGTCACCGTCCTTGTTTCTGGAAAGTATATGACTATGTCGGGATGTAGAGTCATCCTTGTATATGTATGTCGGATTGCATTTATTAGGAAAAAGATGTGCCGGTGTGAATGCCAGACTGTCTTTCCTTTAAAGCGGGAGGGTCGTCTCCTGCACACGCTCGGTAATTGAGTCCCAAGCGACGATAACAACACACACTAAAACGCAAAGGCTCATGGGTAGACGCTTGTTTGTAAACAGTGACACGCTACGGCCATCTGACGCACGCGCAGGGGACGACTCCCCCGCATTAACCTTCATTCTCAATAAATCTCACATCTCTGGAATTTC